TATCATTCTGAAAATCCTGGGGCCCTTCAAAATTATGCTAAGTGTACTGACTCTGCTCTACTAATGGAAACACAAAGCCTGGATGAAAGCACATCTGTTTACTAGTGTTTACTGAGTGTTTTTAAGCTTACTGAGGTAACCTACTATTGAGGGGAAAAGGTTCTTTCCAAATATTACTGTTCATTGACTGTGCATTTAGTCACTCAAGAGCTCTTATGGAAGTATACAAAGAGATTAATGTCATTTTCATGCCTGCTAACACCACACAGTTCTGCAGACCATGGGTCAAGGAGCCATTTTGATCTCCAAGTTTTATTATTGAAAAAATACATTCTGTAAGGCCATAGTTCCCATATATAGTAATTTCTCTGATAGATATGGGCAGAGGAGATTAAAAACCTTTTAGAAAGGACATACTATTCTAAATGGCATTAAGAACATTTGTGACTCTTGGAAGTTAAAATACCATTATTAATAGAAATTTAGGAAAAGTTGATTGCAGCTCTCCTAAATGACTTTAATGTTCAAGACTTTAGTGGAGGAGGTAACTGCAGATATGGTAGAACTAGCGAGAACTAGAATTAGCTGCAAAGCCTAAAGATCTGACTCAATTGTTACAGTCTCATGATAAAACTTTAACAGGTGAGCAGTCACTTCTTATGGATGAGCAAAGTGGTTTTTTCAAATGGAATCTACTTATGGTGAAGATGCTGTGAATGTCATGCGTGCCCAAGATCCGAGAGGAGAATGGAGGAGAAGGGATTGCAGCGTGGCCATGCCCCCTGGGGGGTGATGTCTCGCTTTCTATCTCTCTGTCTCTCTCTGTCTTTCTGGTGAGCGCACACACTCTGTAGCAAAAAACCCTCCAAAAAAAAAAAAAAAAGAAAAAGAAAAAAAAAGATGCTGTGACTGTTGTTGAAATGACAACAAAGGACTTAGAATATTACAGAAAGTTGGTTGATAAAGCAATGGCTGTTTTTGAGAGGACTGACTCCAATTTTGAAAGAATTTTTACAGTGTAAAACATGCCACCAAACAATAGTGCCTACTGGAGAGAAATCTTTCATGAAAGGAGGAATAAATCAATGCAGAAGATTTCATTGTTGCCTTATTTTAAGAATTTTCCATAACTACTCTCAACCTTCAGCAACTGCCACTCCAATTGGTTAGCAGCCATCGACAAGGCAAGACCCTCCACTGCCAAAAGGGAATATGACTTGCTGAAGGCTCAGATCATTGTTAGAATTTTTTAGCAATGAAAGTATTTTTTAATTAAGATATGTACGTTGTTTCTTTCTTTTTTTTTTTTTTTGGAGAGGTTTTCACTATAGGGCATGTGCGCTTGCCAGACAGACAGAGAGAGACATAGACACAGAAAGCAAGAAATCACCCCCCAGGGGGAATGGTCACGCCGCAATCCCTTCTCCTCCATTCTCCTCTTGGGATCTTGGGCACGCACACGCACCCAGCGTGAGTTTTAAGCCACTGGGTCCGGGACACGAACTGCGGTCGACTACGTGGGAGTCCAGCGACACAGCCATTACGCTAACTGCTGGTTCCCAAGATATATACGTTGTTTCTTAAAACATCGCACTACTGCAAACTTAATAGAACATTATGGTGTAAAAATAACTTTTATATAAACTAGAAAACCAAAAAAATTTTTGTAACTTGCTTTATACCAAGCTACCAAGCCTACAAAGTATGCTTGTGATCACTGAATCCTGCAGAATATATCCATGTGAATTTTTTTATCCAATTCATCAAATGAGATGTATATAATTTATAACTACTTTCTCTTCTCACTAGACAATAAGCCTTCCAATGGCAAGAAATTAGTCCTGATTGTATCCTGGTATTTGAGGCCACATAGCAACAGGCACTGTACCTTTTAGTTTAGTCCAGAGAAATACAAATGGCTCATCCTGAAAAAAATATATGATTTAGGAAACACCTTTTCTACATCTTCTGGAGAGAAACAAATACATCAAATACATAAATAAGTATTTAGTATTTAGCATGTAGTATTCATTTCAGATCACACCCAGTACATACAATTCCTTCCTTATGATTCTGTAGCTTTTAAAATTTAACCCTCTTAAAATATGGATATAGAGGTGTATCTCCTGCTGGGTAAAGCCTCTTTACAATCTAAATGATGTATAGCAGTTGAATGTATAAATCATAATGATGATGATAAGAAGGAAATAATTAATTAAAATATGGATGTAGAAAGAAGTGCTTCTGATGTCACGGAGTCTCTGAGAAAACCATGCTGAGACCTGGTATTTCCCAGACAATCCACTTTCTGCAAAAAAAAAAAAAAAAGATTGTTCTGTGTACCAAAAATCAACTCTATCAAATGTGTTATAAACAGATTAATAGGGAATATGTCCTACTTGTCTTATGTTATTTGCTGAGAAAATGCAGGATAACTGCAGGCCGATAGTGTCTAATGTTAGAACCCACTCTAATTTATTCGATCTGCAATCAGACTTGAGTTTCAATGTATGAAAAATGATAGATACAACTTAATGCATTTTTGCTTCTCCCAAAAAGGTATGAAAACTTCAATCCTTCACCCCTCAAAATAGAATACTTCCAAATAAAGATTCTTTCAAGTCTTTGATGAATTGTTACAATTATTTAGAACCCATTATTGTTAAAGTCAATAAAACAGCTTTCTAAACACATCAAGCAACCAACTGGGTGGGACCTCACTTCAAGTGGTGGAAAATGTGGTCAACAACTCCATCTGAAAAGAGAAAGTAGTTTGCTGGGATGATTTTCTCGAGGAATTGGTGACCACATAAGCCAATGAATTCTGGCCTCTCACATGAAGGTTTTACATAGCAGTGCACCTCCTTCCTCGAAGGTCTCAAAGGTGAGATTCTGACCAGAATATCTAAAACAACCCCCCAACCCAGTCTCTGAACAGCAAATCTCAGAGTAAAGATTGAGGCATGTTGGGACCAACAGATGGAGTAATAGTTACGTTGCTAGACTCCCAGTTGACCGTGTTTTGAGTTCTGAACCCAATAAAACCCCCACCAGTTTTAACCCAGTCATTTAAAACTCCCACCAGGTGCATGCCCAAAATCCCAAGAGAAGAATGGAGAAGAGATTGTGGTGTGACCATCCCCCCTGGGGGGGGAGGGGCGGTTGATTTCTCACTTTCTGTCTCTCTGTCTCTCTGGCAAGCAAACATGCCCTATAGCAAAAACCTCTCTCTCTCTAAAAAAAATATTGAGGCATGTTATGAGTTCTACCAACATCCTTTGCCAGTGTTAGGTGCCCCATCAAACTGGACTCAGAAAGGCAAGGATTGGGGCTTTTTGAGGCTGAACCACTGTGAACGGTTTCCCATGCACAATGCCCTATTCTCCTGTCATATTCCATGCAGTGTAGCCTCCAGGAGCATCACTTACATGTATGCTGTGGTGGAATAAGACTTATTTTGAGAACTGGCCCCAGAGGTCTTTGAGAACTCATTGGGAGTTTACCAAATAGGCCCTTTCAATACGTCTACCAAACTTTGACTCTTAGTTGAGGGGAGAAAGAAGGTATTCCACATCCTCACAAGACAGAGCCTGGCAGGTATCTGACCTCAGGAGACAGTCAAGACACCGATAGCAATATTGGACAGCTTTATGGAGAAGTCCTGATCCAGAGGGTCCAACTAGTCACCCAGATCAAGTCTTTCTGTGGAGACAAGAGAACACTAAGACATGCATATGAAGTTTCAGTTGGGAGTACACCATGAAAATACTGCTGTTGCCTCTTTTCTTTGTTTTTAGTGCTTGACTGATATCTGAGGCTGGCAATTATTAAATCTCAAACTTAGGGTGAATAGAGACAGCTTTCAGTGGGGAGCTGGGTGGATGGGAGAGACCATACATTAGATAGAGGGTCTATTCACCTGGAGAAAGAGCTGTGAGTTATAAAGGAAACATCCATTCCCCTAACCTTTCACTCTCTTAGACCTGCATATTCAACTACATACAGTTTCCAAAGACCTGTGGGGTCCTGATATGATACACCATATTCAACATTCACCTAAAACTGTGGGGAAAGAGCCATCTGTTATTTGAAAATAGTCTAGAACTGACAGAAAGCAGATCATAAAATAAGATCCATGCCCTTGGAGAACACACACATTCTGGTAATTGAAATTTTGGGGCAGAATGCAGAAGCCCAGCCCCCAAGCTGGATGAGAAACAACAGAAATAGCAAAGAACAAACACTCAGCACAGCCAATAGGAGAGTGTCCAAACTCAAACATGACACTTGGAGAAATATTACCTAAAACCAAAACCATTAGGAGCAAAATGAAGAAAATGCCAGGAACCTACATACTTTAGCTTTCTATGATGACAGTGCAGAGGAGCTGAAGAAGGCAGATAACAGTCTGAACAGAAACTATCAACCTACTTTGAGGGAAGAAGCTGGGTATGTGGCAATCTGTGAGAAAAACAAAAAACACTAGCCAGATCCCTTCTTCTCTTTGATGAGTGGACAGAGACTTGGCCTGAACAAAAAATCACACAGACACTCTTCTTTAGCAACTTCTACCAGCAGAAGAAAATGAGACAGAGTGTCAGGAAAACTGTTTTTAGGATAATCATCTTGACAAGACACACAAGTCTGACCAGATGGAGGAGAGAAAAAATGAGAGCAAGCCAAAGCCTGAAGCCACCCAGGCCTGTGCATCACATCAGAATGAGAGTTCTTTGGGTGAAAATAGAGGCCACAGTTCAAGAAGTTGCCTTTTGCAGATTTGGATCATAATTTCAGGTTTAAAGAACACTGACATGCTATAGCTGCCCAAGGCTGAGTCTCCCTCCCTCCCAGGCCCTCAGGTAGACTCCCAGGCCTTGCTGTTGATGTACGTTTAAACTAGAAGAATAAAAAAAAAAAAAAAGATTAATTAAGCCTACATCACTACAGCAATGCATTTTTTAAAAGTAGATTAAATTCTTTTCATCTGTTCTAGCACTTACTTGTCATAGAAATCAGCCATTTTAGGGCTACTGAAGTCTGTAACATCCAAGAAACGCTTATTAGTCGGGCATATTTTACAAACCTATTAAAGAAAAGAAGACGACATCTCAACTGTACTAATGTGAATTTCTAACACTTCATTAATGATGCTTAAATGCAGTGATCACTAAGTGCACAAAAGCACGAGACAGTTTCATCTCAAAAGGCACACTCCTGTTTTATGTCATGTGTTTGTTTACGGTGTTTAATTATATGCTTATGATTATTCGAGTCTATTTCTGTGGTATGAAAAGCTCTTTTAGTATTAAAGCCAACTAACAAATGAATCTGAATCATCTGATGGCAATGCCAGTCTCTAGTGATTAGGATTTTTACAATGCTGATAGCGTCACTGGAGTGAGAAACACCATTGTTTAGACATACACAAACAGAGGAAAGAGTAAAAAAAAGTGTTAAAACTGCAATTACTAACTTGTATAAAAAAAACCCCAGCAGGTTTTTTTCAATGTATTTTTCAATGTATTTCAATATTTTTCAATGTATAACTCAGTGAAACTGAAATAAAATGCTTTATTTACTTAATTGGAGCAAAGATGCCAGCAGCCAGGGTTTATAATTGGATGGTCTTAATAATTCTCCATTCCACTGCATTGTCGGAAAGCATCCATTTCATTCTATTACTTTCGAATGTACAAAAACTACACAAGGGAACGTTTTCCTATCCTCTACATTTTTCTTTTCTCGATATTGAGACCATTGTTGGTTTTTCATAAAGCTTAGTTTTGGCACTTATTAAATCTCAAACTTAGGGTCAGATCTGATCCCCAAGTACTTATTAACTTGAATTGGAATGTTTCATTTTCAAGTGGCTTACTTCTGCCGGTGGTGTTACTGTGTGTATGTGCATATCCTTTCATAAAACTCATCTGGGTTGCTTGGTCTTTTAAGGTAAGTTTTAAATACTCTTAGGTTACACTAAAGAGGATGTTAATGTATTCATATAGTAAGATCTTCAAGCTATACCATTAAGTTGCAAAACAGTGTTTATGATATATTCCTATTTGGATTTGACTGTCTTAACAGAATATGAATCCTCTTATTGAAACTACCTTCTTTTTTTTTTTTTTTTTT